AGTGGAGTCGTAGCTGGGCCCGGGCCAGGAGCGGAGCCACAGCCAGGGGCTGGGGCTGGAGCAGAGTTGGGGGGCAGAGTGGGACTGGGTGGTGCTCCTTCTCTGCGGGGGCTGGCCCAGGCCCCACCACACCCCCAAAACATTCCTCCATAGGGAGGCATGCTCCACAGTTTGGGGACCACTGGTCTAAGGGGTCCGCAAAAAATATTAATTCTTTTCAGTCTCTCTCTATATACCGGGGTGGCCAAACTGGCTCGTGAGCCACGTGCAGCTCTTTTACAGTTAAAGTGCAGATCACGGAGCCCCTCACCCCCCACATTGTGTAATGCTGTTGCAAAAAAAGTGAACATCATTCTGGGCTGTATTAGCAGGAGTGTTGTTAGCAAGACCTGGGAGTAATTCTTCTGCTCTACTCTGTGCTGATTAGGCCTCAACTGGAGTATTGTGTCCAGTTTTGGACACCACATTTCAGGAAAGATGTGGACAAATTGTAGAGTCCAGAGAAGAGCATCAAAAATGATTAAAGGTCTAGAAAGCATTACCTGTGAGGGGAGATTGAAAAAACTGGGTTTGTTTAGTGTGGAGAAGAGAAGACTGAGAGGGGACATGATAACAGTTTTGAAGTGCATAAAAGGTTGTTACCCGAACCGTGAGCAGCTGGAGGAACGAGCAAGGTGCCTTCTTGCCCCCGACGTGGGAGGTGAACTCATGTGAAAGCACCTCTGAACTCTGAGTCTCCACTGACCAAGGACAACACCGGTGAGTGTTAATGAGGCTGTTAAGAATGCTGGAGACAAAACACAGTTCATGCGAACCAACATGGCTGTGGCATCCTACTTTCTATAAAGCAAGAGATACCACACACTGCAAACTGTTGGCCAATGTTAAGTGCATTGTCACTTGTTCATCCTGAAGTTGGACACTGGTTCCAAACAAGACCAGCAAATGCTCGTTATCTTTCTGCAAGAAACTCAGCTGACTGGCTAGATGCATGTGGTCCAACAGTGAAAGATTCAACAGTTGAAAAAGTGAAGACCTCTCTCACCACATTCAAAAAAATTGCATACATGGCTAATAAATGCACCGATGCAAACGGGCATCAAGTATTAAGTCATTGTGTATGTTATCTTGATGTCAGCGGTAGGCCAGTAGATGCATTTCTAGATGTTCAAATTACAGAAGACACATCGGCTGCATCTGTGACAACCCACATCTTAGAGTTAAATGCTTGTCAATTGGACCCCAAACAGATGGCTGCTTGTGCATTTGATGGAGCTGCAAACTTCTCTGGAAGACATGGTGGAGCAAAGCTTTGCTCAGAGAAAAGCGTAACCCTAGTTTCTCCTATACACACTGCAGAGGCCATCTACTCCAACTAGCGCTAGTACGAGCTGCAGACTCTTCAAAAGACATTTTAAAAGCTATAAATTTAATGTCCTCATTATATTCTTTTTTCAGCAAGAGTCCAAAAAGAATATCTTGGACAATATAGAAGATACACTGGGACTGAAGTTCAAATTAGTCCAATCTGGGAAAACCCTCTGGCTTTCTCATGAACGATCCCTGGCTGTTGTCTTAAAATTACTCCAGCCATTATTACTGACTTTGGAAAGTATCTACCAAGATGGGATGGAGCTAAGTAGTGAGGCTGGTGGATTCATGGAGCAGGTCCTCAAAGAATCAATCCTGAAGCACTTGCATGAGAGGAAAGTGATCAGGAACAGCCAGCATGGATTCACCAAGGGAAGGTCATGCCTGACTAATCTAATCGCCTTCTATGATGAGATTACTGGTTCTGTGGATGAAGGGAAAGCAGTGGATGTATTGTTTCTTGACTTTAGCAAAGCTTTTGACACGGTCTCCCACAGTATTCTTGTCAGCAAGTTAAGGAAGTATGGGCTGGATGAATGCACTACAAGGTGGGTAGAAAGCTGGCTAGATTGTCGGGCTCAACGGGTAGTTATCAATGGCTCCATGTCTAGTTGGCAGCCGGTATCAAGTGGAGTGCCCCAAGGGTCGGTCCTGGGGCCGGTTTTGTTCAATATCTTCATAAATGATCTGGAGGATGGTGTGGATTGCACTCTCAGCAAATTTGCGGATGATACTAAACTGGGAGGAGTGGTAGATACGCTGGAGGGGAGGGATAGGATACAGAAGGACCTAGACAAATTGGAGGATTGGGCCAAAAGAAATCTGATGAGGTTCAATAAGGATAAGTGCAGGGTCCTGCACTTAGGATGGAAGAACCCAATGCACAGCTACAGACTAGGGACCGAATGGCTAGGCAGCAGTTCTGCAGAAAAGGACCTAGGGGTGACAGTGGACGAGAAGCTGGATATGAGTCAGCAGTGTGCCCTTGTTGCCAAGAAGGCCAATGGCATTTTGGGATGTATAAGTAGGGGCATAGCGAGCAGATCGAGGGACGTGATCGTTCCCCTCTATTCGACATTGGTGAGGCCTCATCTGGAGTACTGTGTCCAGTTTTGGGCCCCACACTTCAAGAAGGATGTGGATAAATTGGAGAGAGTCCAGCGAAGGGCAACAAAAATGATTAGGGGTCTGGAACACATGAGTTATGAGGAGAGGCTGAGGGAGCTGGGATTGTTTAGCCTGCAGAAGAGAAGAATGAGGGGGATTTGATAGCTGCTTTCAACTACCTGAAAGGGGGTTCCAAAGAGGATGGCTCTAGACTGTTCTCAATGGTAGCAGATGACAGAACGAGGAGTAATGGTCTCAAGTTGCAGTGGGGGAGGTTTAGATTGGATATTAGGAAAAACTTTTTCACTAAGAGGGTGGTGAAACACTGGAATGCGTTACCTAGGGAGGTGGTAGAATCTCCTTCCTTAGAGGTTTTTAAGGTCAGGCTTGACAAAGCCCTGGCTGGGATGATTTAACTGGGAATTGGTCCTGCTTCGAGCAGGGGGTTGGACTAGATGACCTTCTGGGGTCCCTTCCAACCCTTATATTCTATGATTCTATGATTACTTTTGCTACTACGTTCAGAGAAGACTATTGCCATTCTCTCTCTTGCAAGTCTCTTCTTGAAACCACTTGGATCATTAAACAATGCCATCCAGGCATCTGCTACAATAGTAGTAGATCTTTGTTCAGCAATAGAAGCTACATTTGGATCAATCAGAGAGCTATCCATTGAAAAAATACTGGAAGAAGCAAAGACTTCAGTCCAGAAGTTGACTAATGAAAGCATTTATATTGAATCCTTAAGTGAAGAGGACAAGAAGTGTTTGTTAAGACAACTGAAAAAGTACACAGACTTGATTCTTAAAAATCTACAACAGCGACTTCTAGATTCTGCTCAACCGCTACGTAGCTTTTACAGATCCCTGTCCTATAAAACACCGACAGCTGAGTGGAGTGAGGCGCGACCAGCAATGGGGCTGCCATGTGCTCAGGACGGAATAGAGAATTTGAACACACAATGGACGATCATACGACAAATGAATGAAGATTTGACTTCAACCTCTTTTTTATCATCACTAGTGGCTCGACCCAATCTTTGTGCTCTGTTTCCTGGGATGAAAGAAGTGGGAATTCATCTCTTGCTCCTCCCAGTCACAACAGCTACAGTGGAGCGTTCTTTTGCCTCATTGAATAGAATTTTGTGTTCTGAAAGAAGTCGCCTTCTGCCTGATTATGTGAATGAACTAATGAGCATATCACTTGAAGGAATGGAAGTACCAGACACATAAGAAGCCACCAAAGATGAACGCATTGCATTCAAGAAGTTAATTAACAGAGTTGTGCAAAATTATAACAAGAAACCAAGAAGGATGTAGATGTCGTGCTTCATAGAAGGCTTGAGTAGCCAACTTTAATTTGAAAGTAGCTGTGCTTGAACAAAAAAACGTCAGAAACAGACTTCAAAGAGAAACAGCAGAACTAAAATTCATTTGCAAATTTAACACCATTAATCTGGGCTTGAATAGGGACTGGGAGTGGCTGGCTCATTACAGAAGCAGCCTTGCCTCTCCTGGGATTGCCACCTCCTCCTCTGTTATTGGGAGTGGACCACATCCACCGGGCTCCCATTGGCCCTGTCAGCCCTGGTTCTCCACTTGTGAGGTATCTCCCTTCCCTTCTTGTGTCAGTATATTGATGTCTGCAGCTGTAACTTTCACTCCATACAGCTGAAGAAGTGAGGTTTTTGAAAGCTTATGCCCAAATAAATCTGTTAGTCTTTAAGGGGCCACTGGACTCCTTGTTGTTTTTGTGGATACAGACTAACACGGCTATTCCCCCCATATTTAATTTGTGTGAGGCTTTTAAAACGTGAGTTAAAGCTAATAAAACGGTTATGAAACATTTTTCAGTTTTTACTAGGGGTGCCATAGACCCCCCCCCCCAGTCTCACCCCCCATCAGCCCTGACCCCCCCCCCCATCTCAATTCCTGGGGAAGACACTGGGCGGTGCCCTCGGGCCGGGCCAGGTCTGGGGGCGCCCGCCCCGCTTTTCAGGCCGCACGGAGCCAGCCCGGTCCCCGCGGAGGGCGCGGCTCCGAGCGGCACCGACCAGCGCCTCCAGCAGCCGGAGCCGGAGCCTCCCCGCGGCCGGAGGAGCCGCCCCGCATCCCGCGCCCCGCCCCGGGCTGGATTCGGAGCAGGCGCCGCCGTCCACACGGGCTCGGCTGGAATTGGCTCCGCGGCGCCGCCGGGCTCGCGTCGGCAGCGGCAGCCGCTTGTTGCTCTGCGCGCTGGTGGCTGTCACATTGTTTCCAGCTCGCGGGGGAGGGGGAGGGGAAGGGGGAGGGAGGCTCGGGCTGCCGAGCTCGCCGCCGCCAGGGGAGCCCCGAGCCCGGGCCCGCCGAGAGAGGCTCGCTGCTGCTGCTGCTGCTCCGGCTCCAGCTCCGGCGTCTCCTGTGCACGAAGATGGCGGCGCCGCTCGCCAGCAAGCCCGGACCCCTGGGCGCTCCCTGCAAGCCCGCCGGCCCCGAGCTCGATTTCAGGTCCGGAGCCCGCACGGAGGAATTGAACAAACTCATCCAGGAATTCACCAAGCACGACCAGCGGGAGTACGACGACCAGCGAGCCCTGGAGATCCACACGGCCAAAGACTTCATCTTCTCCATGCTCGGTGAGCGGGGGGCGTGGGGGGCTCCGGACCAGCCTGGGCTGCGGGGATGGGGGTCGGGGGTTGATTTGTTGCAGGTTGAGGTGTGTCCCCCCCCTTTTTTTTTAATTAAAACTCTCTTTCCTGTCCCCCATGCGAGTGCATGACACACCTTCCTTCCTGGCGGTAGGTGTGCAACCCCCGAGCTGGTGTGGGGCTGATTGAGATGCACACTCGTGGCTTTGGGAGGGGAGGGGGTCAGGCGAGGCCACTCTGGCGCTCCCTGTTATTTATTTATTGTTCTTTTCATGTCTGGAGGCTAGTGATATATTTGCAGGTCACGGGTATAGTTGTAGCCAGATGGTTTAGTTGCTAGCACTCTCCCATGAGCTGTGTTTCTAGGCTTGGTTGCAAAACTTGCTAAGGTATAAATTATCCTGTGGAAGGGACCCTGGCTGCGCTGGAGAATTCTAGTTTGCATGTAACTTTGATTCATCACGGGTGGGGGATTCTTAAATGATACTAAAACAAATGGCAAACCACACCACTGCTTAAATCACCCATGCTGTTGAATGACAAAAGAGTTAGCACAGATGAAATGCAGAGTGACTAACGTTTTAACTGCACCTGCAGTCACTGATGAATATTTACCCTGCATTGGTTAAAAATTATTCATCTAAACAGAAACCTTTAAAATAGGAAAGGATCCTTTGTAATGGACCTTGAAATCAAGCTTTCAGGTTTACATCAGCGTCACGAGCATTTTTTCATTAAACTGACAGAAGAGTGAAACATATATTTGGCAGGTTCAAAGTTTTATCTGATATTTAAGAGTCTGGGGTCAAGCCATTGAAATAGAATGTAGGGTCAATAAATAGCTCTGTGCTTCAAGGTGTGTCTCTTTCTTTCTCTCCAGTCCATAATATATGTAACTAAATAGGTAAAGTACATATGCATGTGTGTGGCTGCACAGAATCAATTTATTAATAATTAATCTATACTGCATTTGTATATGAAAACATGCTAGCATATTCCAGAAATCGCTAACTGATCACTTCCTCTTTTGTCATAAATGTACAGTGCTTACATTAAACAAGTGACTACCTGCTGAACTCTGGTTATCTAGGATGACTAGCTAATGAGTAAACGCTTGCTTTGGGATTCAGATAGTCAATATTATCATAGGGCCTAATCACATGAGCCACGCTATCAGAGGCTCGTTCACCTGCACATCTACCAATGTGATAGATGCCATCATGTGCCAGCAATGCCCCTCTGCCGTGTACATTGGCCAAACCGGACAGTCTCTATGTAAAAGAATAAATGGACACGAATCAGACGTCAAGAATTATAACATTCAAAAACCGGTCGGAGAACACTTCAATCTCTCTGGTCACTCGATTACAGACCTAAAAGTGGCAATTCTTCAACAAAAAAACTAAAAAACAGACTCCAACAAGAGACTGCTGAATTGGAATTAATTTGCCAACTGGACACAATTTAGGCTTGAATAAGACTGGGAGTGGATGTGTCATTATGCATCCAATAAAGTGAGCTGTAGCTCACGAAAGCTTGTGCTCAAATAAATTTGTGAGTCTCTAAGGTGCCACAAGTACTCCTTTTCTTTTTGCGGATACAGACTAACACGGCTGCTACTCTGAAACCTACACAAAGTAAAACTATTTCCACGTGTTTATTCCCCCCGCCCCCACTGTTCCTCAGACGTTCTTGTCAACTGCTGGAAATGGCCCACCTGGATTATCACTACAAAAGGTTCCCCCGGCCCCCGCTCTCCTGCTGGTAATAGCTCACCTTACCTGATCACTCTCCTTACAGTGTGTATGGTAACACCCATTGTTTCATGTTCTCTGCATATATAAAATCTCCCCACTGTATTTTCCACTGCATGCCTCCGATGAAGTGAGCTGTAGCCCACCAAACCTTATGCTCTAATCAATGTGTGAGTCTCTGAGGTGCCACAAGTCCTCATATTTTTTTTCTTTTTCATGTAAGGCTGGAGAGAATGTAACTCACTAATTTTGGCTTGAGAACAAGGGCAAAGCACTGAAATGCTGCCTGGCACGGGTTATAACCGCGTTTTGTGGGTGGGTTTTCTTTTTCCTGCTTCCTTTTTTTAAAAAAAAAAAAAACAACCCCTCCCTGCATGGAATTCTGGCCCCAGTGAAGTCAATGGGAGTCTTGCCATTCTCGCCAGTGAGGCCAGGGTTCCACCCACTATCGTGATCTGACAAACCTCTCAGCTGGGATTGTGTGGGGAAAACATCAACAAGTAGAAATGAGTGACCGCCTCACAGTAACTTGTCGGCAAAGCTCTTTGGTTTGTAAATAGCAACAGCATCTTTCAGAACTGCCAGACCATGCAGAAGAGAACACCGTAGCCTTTCTTCGCCTTTACGTCTCCCCTCCCCCAGGCAGACATTGGGTGTGAGTACAGAAACTCGCATGGCACCACACCTTCTAGTTCTTCCTAGCCATCCTGACGGCCAGCTGCTCAGGATAGATCAGAAACTCTTGGATATTTGGTGCTTACACAAATTAACAAAGCTTCACTGCCCATATAATGCCCAAGGGGGACTGCTTCAGCTGTAATTGTGGAGTCTGAAATCTATCCGAATATACATCAATCACTTTCTGTCAGAATGCTGCGTGTATAACTCTGCAGGCTGAAGCATGCTGTTACATACTGACATGGGGTTTTCACAGAAGCTATGTTCTCTCATACGTCATGTTGGGCAGGTTTTGCTTGAGTCCCATCTTCAAAATTAAACCACTTCCAGTGGAAGGAATTTTGCCAGAGAAAGGACTCCAGGCCCAGACCCCGTGGAAGAATACCCTCTCGCATCGGTATTTAAAAGATTGAATTTCTTGCTTCCCTGTCCCTTACCCTTTTTCTCCCTAGCTATTGGACAGCTGAGCTCTGGAAGAGTTAATGAACTGCTGTTCTGCTACCTCAGACCTGGTACCAGGGTCCCAACAGCCCGTGTCCCCAAACGCTAGGGAAGATGTTCGTAGCTGCAGCCTTCTGACTCTGACCTAGATGGAGCAGGCGTTTGGATTGTGGTAACACAACTCGACGCTTTCCCAAAGAGCTCGCAGTCCTGTTAATGACGTAGCGCTGAAAGTGTGCGCGCGGGGGAGCCCCTACTGGGTAAGTTTCCCTGTTTATGCTGAGCGTCACTTGAGGATTGTTTGAAGTTTAGCTGCATGGTTGTATTTTCTGTCTGTTAAGTGACAGAGATGGGTGGGGCTTGCATAATTAGGGTCCTAAATGGGGAAAATTGGGGAGGAAGAATGGTCTTGTACTATTGGGACTTTGGAGATCAGGGTCTAACTTTTAGCTCTACCACTGACTTCTGTGAGACCTTGGACAAGACGCTTATACTCGCTCTCAGGTCTCTGTGGATAGGTTTAGGAAAGCAGTGGTTCCCAACCTCACGGTGCTGTTGTGGTGATGATTTCTCAGTGCCTGACAAGTGTCCTGGATACTGTTGTGATGGCAACCACATTAGTATCTAGATAAAATAGTCCTATTGGGGTGTTCATCCAAGGCGGGACTGTTCCCTCCAGAACAGCTGGAGTTGTGGTTATCGCTGCCTCCTACGTTCGCCAGAGCGGTTCAGTTCTTCTTTTGTTCGCAGCCCTTTGCGTAGAATCTTCCTTGATCCACAGCTAATTCCTCTCTGGGGCCTGAATAAAAACATGCCATGATGCCCAGATGTGCTGTGAACTGTTAAAACCATACGCTGAGCTCTTGGGAACAGGAGTCCTGAGTACGAAACCGAGCTCTGACGTTCCTAGGACTGCGGCTGCTGCCTCAAACTAGCCTGTGGTTTCTTTCTTAGGGGTCCTGACTCTTGGATTGTTTTCTTTCTAAGGGTGCTGACAGCCTTAAGTAGATCTGTAACTGTCCCTTTGTTCCAGGTGGGCATAGGCTTGCTCATAGCCATATAGAGAAGGGGTGCGGGGTTACTCATGTTGATCCTTTAGTGAGGCCATTTTCACAAACCTTGACTGTTTTGCTTGTTGCCTAAATAGGTCTAGTCTCCACAGGAGGGAAGGGACAAAACCTCAGCTCCACACAGCTTTGGGGTGGGAGGGGGGTGTGTGTCCGTGCATGCAAGTCCAAACGTTGCAGCCTGAGTCTATTGACAATCTCATGGGCGTTCGAAAGGGTGGTTGTTCTGTCCTCTGACACTCGGCAGGTGGTCGGGCGGGTAAGATTTTCCGAAGCAGCTCATATGAGTTTGCAGGTTGAGTCCCAGTGACTTTCTGTGAGCCCTTTGACCTTGCCTACATTTACAAGGGCTTGCTGGGATAGATGTACTGAGGGAGCTATCCCAGAAAACCTCCCCAGGGGCGAGACAGCTTATCCAAGTGAAAGGACACTCCTGCTGGTGTGACTGCAGCTACACCAGGGCTTTGTTGGCATAGGTATATTGGTTAGAATGGTGTTCTTGCCACACCCTGTGGTCCTGTCCCCCCACTCGCTTCTAACAAGCACAGCTAGGCCAGTAAAATTGTCTCATGTAGATCCTGCCTTAGGCTCAAGGATACTTCTGTTAAGCACTCTCGGAAATGTTACCCACTGTCTGTTGTAGGTGAGAGAGAGACTTTGATTCTGGTCCTGTACTGAGGAGCAGAAATAGCTACCAGAGTGGAATGATCTCTCTGGAGTCAAGATTTTGTTCCTCCCTCTTTTGCAAGAGAGGCCAATCACGATAGGAGCCTACCGTACTCTGAGGTCTGTATTACTAAACACCCCTTGCTGATGTGCCTCTGTGCTATTGCATACATACCGCACAGCTGTTAAAAACAACCTTCTTCTGCATCACAGTATCCTTCGTCTCTGGCTTTTGCTGGGTCCCTCTCCCTGCAGGCCCTGAGTGTCTGGGTTTATATTTAAGGCTGTCCCTTGGGTGCAGAAAATGGTAGCTATCTCCAATACAAAATCCTGATGGAAACAAGGCATAGGTAGCTCGTACCTCGATGTAGCTAGTTGAAGTCAACCCTATCCTTATGCTGCCCTCCCTCCCTCTGGGGAATACTGTGATGTGGGCTAGTCAAGATTTAAAAGACGTGGCTTGTCTCTTTTATCTCAATATAAAAACCCTGCACCTTTTGTGCAGTGAAGGCAGCCTGAGAAGCTTTATCCTACCTGCCTCTGAGACAGGTGAGCGAATGAGCTGGAGAAGTCACTCGGCTACTATTTTGAAACGTTAGGTGGTGGTGCAGGCGGTTTAGTTTAATAGCGAAGAACGTGTCTTCCGGGCACAAAAATTCTCAAGGCAGGATTGTCAAGAACTTGCCCAACACCCGTTCTTAAAGGCCGGGGAAATATTTGTAAAGGATTTTGGGAATTCTTGCCAAGCCTAATTATGCTTTAAAGGCAATTGATAATTATGTTCCTACAGAAGGATGGTAACTAGGACACGTGAACTGTTTTGTTTTTTTCTCTTCCACGTGACTTTGCATGAACACCTAGCGCGAACGCAGCATAAACAAGACAGATGCGATTAGCAGACTTGGAATGTTTCTAGCCTGGAAACAAGTTGTTCTGTTTGCTTTTAGCCAGCTGGTTAGTTTTATTTAGTAGATCCAAATCAAAGGGGCAGCAGAGATAAGGAACATAAGTGGTGGAGTTGCTTAGGAAGGGGGGTGGGGGGTTAAACTTTGCAATTCTAGGAAACACTTCCACTGGAAGATTTTTTCTCTAGTATGCAAAAATGTCTCTCTAGGAAAGCTATTGGTGGCAGCTCTGAAGCTTAATGGGCATTTCTGGGGGCTCTGCTCTGCAGCTTGGCCATTATTTCTCTTGTTAATCACTGCAGAGGAGACGTTTGATTTAATTCTAGTTTTGAAGGTTTTCTTTTCACACATTCAGACCCATGCAGTGTCCCTGCCGGTCCATACAAGATCTGGCAATGTGCAGGGTTTCCTTCGGGGTCCATGGCTATAATCGCACCCCACTTCAAAAGTATTTTACAATCGGAAAACGGGGCTCTAGCCAAATTGCAGCTTGTTTGTCACAGAATCGTAGGACTGGAAGGGACTTCGAGAGGTCATCTATTCCAGTCCCCTGCACTCGTGGCAGGACTAAGTCCTCATAGTTATTAAGTGACCACAACCAGAATTGTCTGTCCCTCCTCAGACTCTCAAGCCCCCAAACACCGGGGAGACCTGGGTAGTATGGAAGGCAGATTTGAACAACACTTACTTTTGACTTTGCAGACACCAAACCTCTGCTTGTTTTCCCTATCACTGAACCCTGTATCAAGTCCACGGACAAGTGGTATCTAAGTTGTGTCTGAATCTTGCCGATTCCGTCTGCATAATGTCTCTGGGGTCTTGTCTACACTACAGAGAAAAGTTGATCTAAGCTACGCAATTTGAGTTACAGGAATAGCGTAACTCAAGTCGACATAGCTTAGATCTATTTACCGCGGGGTCCACACTACATGATACTGACGGGAGACACTCTCCCGTTGACTCCCCTTACTCTTCTTGATCCGGTGGAGTACAGGAGTCGACGGGAGAGCTATCTGCGGTCAATTTAGCGGGTCCTCACAAGCCCCGCTAAATCGACCACTCATGCATCAATCGCTGCACGTCGATCCCCCAGTGAGTATAGACAAGCCCTAAGATACAGCCTTTACTGTCCACCCACACAGCTCAAACTCCTTGTCCAGGCTCTCGTCTCCTGTTTCAATTACCACAACATCCTTTTCTCTGGCCTTGACAAATGCAGTCTTGCCCCGCTCATCCATTCAGAGTGCAGCTGCGAAGATCGCTTACGTAGCTTATGGCTTTGAGCATGTCACCCTCTCTGCATCCCTCCACTGGCTCCCTCTTTCTCGCAGCAAACACAGATTATTTCTTTTCGCTTTCAAGGCTCTTCACGGGCTGTCCTCACCCCACCCATCATCGCTCGTTCAGCATTGAGATGTCTACTCTTGCCTCTGATCGGCCCATGATCTCAGCCTCCGTCACTCACTTGTTAAATTTTCAAGCAAGCACCATTATGCTTTCTCCCATGTTGACCTGCAAGCTGGTGAGGAGCTCCCTGTAGGCATCCACGAAGCTACCTTGTTATCCTCCTTCAGATTCCTCCTGGAAACTCTCCGTTTCCATGATGCCTCCAAACAACACGACAGTGGCTAGGCTCTTGGTGTGCCGAGGCCACTGCGTCACATGCTGACCAATGCTGTCCCGTGTGTGCCTCCATCCATCTGTACCCATCTGTTGTCTCCTTTTACTTAGGTTATAAGCTTTGGGAGAGGGGACTGTTTTTTTTTCTTCTGTTTGGACAGTGCCTAGCACAGTGGGGTCCTGGGCCATGACGAGGGCTCCTATGTAGTAGAACAATACAAATAAACAGTGACAGCATGTCCACTTGGAACTTCATGGCAGCAGCAGCAGGGGTAGAATCCAGATCCCACTGTTTTTCAAGCACCATACCTACCCTTTGACCTAAGGAAAATTACTGTTGGCAATATAGGGCCTATGCCCCAGAGTTGAGTGATTCTGATTGTGTCCAGGAGACGGCAGCGATAGATGCTAGCCTGTTCGTTGGAATACATAGCTGACATTAAAACAAATCCTGGAACTACCAAAATGAGATTAATGGTTTGGGGAGGAAAGAACCATATCTTTTACAATTCTTCAGCCCTTCTTTTCAAGCAGGAGTTCCTTCCTGAGCTAAACTCCCCTTGATCTGAATTGGGAAGGGGGCGGGGGAAGGGGAATCACGTTGCACACTTTGGAAAAAACCCACCTTAATTCTGCCCCACTCTTCACCACCAATTGCCTACCATTCATCTAGTAAGGAGATACATCTCTCTCTCTGGGCAGTGTTTTTTTTAAATAGCCTCTGTTTATAAATGAAAATGTAATAATCTTCTGTTCGGTAAAGAAGTTATGTGCTACCTTAGTTGAATTATTGGGGCACTGTGCGATTTGCAGTTTGTGGGTGTTCGGGGCCGTGTGGCTGGAGTGGATTGGGAGGGACGGAGCCAGGCGGCTGCTCATTCTGTGGCAGACCTGGGGAGCTGTGACGGGCACTGTTGCACGGGGGCTATCTTGCAGCGTGGATGTGCGCACACCAGAGCTTGCTTACTGAGGGAGGATGAATTGTCCCAGCCGGCTGGTGGA